TTTATTTATTTATTTATTTATATATATATATTTTTTTTTATTAGTGCTACTTTACATCAAGATGTTTTTTTTTGTTTTTTTTTTGGTCAAATTGTGCATAAACCAGAGTGTTTAGCAAACCACTCTAATTGCATGTGTAACTTGTTTCCAATCATCTACTTGCTGTGTTATAAACTTAATTTTCTTTTGGCTTTTCCCTCTTCAGGGTCGCCACAGTGAGTCATTGTCCTCCACCTCTATCTGTCCTCTGAATCCTCTGTCCTCACTCTAACTACAGCCAAGTCCTCTCTAAATACAATATGCAGCATCTCCTCTTTGTCTTTTTCCTGGCAGCTGCATTTCTAACATCCTTCTACCAATATAACCACTGTCCCTCCTCTGGACATGCCCAAACCATCTCAATCTGGCCTCTCTAACATCATCTCCCAGTTGTTCAACCTGTGCTGTACCTCTGATGATCTAATTTCTAAGCTTATCCATCCTTGTCACTCAAGGTGAATCTCAGCATCTTATTTTCTGCCACTTCCAGTTCTCCTGTCTTTTTGTCAATGTCGCTGTCTCCAGACTATACAACATAGCTGGTCTTGTAAACGTTTCATTTGACTTTTGCTGCCTGCCATCAATTTTGTTACAATTTACTCCTGAAACTTTTCTTCATCCACTCCATCCTGCCTGGATTCTCTTTTTCACCTCTTTACCACACTCCTCATTTCCCTGGACAGTGGACCCCATGTACTTGAAGTCTTGCACCTTTGTGACCTCTGCTCCCACTGTTCCACTGGCCTGCCTCTCATTCACACACATGTACTCTGTCTTACTACGACTGACTTTCATTCCTCTTCTTTCAAGTGCATACACCCACCTCTCCAAGTTCTCTTCCACCTGTTCCCTGTTCTCACCACAGATCACAATGTATTCTGCATACATCACAGTCTACCGGGATTCCTGCCTGACCTCATCTGTTAGTTGGTCCATCACCAGAGCAAACAAGAAGGGCTTCAGAGCTGATCCTTGATGCACGCCCACTTCCATCTTGAAGCTATCTGTCACTTCTAAAACACATATCACCACTGTTCTGCTGTCCTCGTGCATGTCTTGTACCAGTCTAACATATTTATCTACTACTCCAGATTTCCTCATGCAATACCACACCTCCCTTGGCACCCTATCATACATTTTCTAAATCCATAATGTAGTTATTTCTGATCCTCTCTTCTCCATCATCATCCTCAAATCAAAGATGGCAACTGTGGTGCTCTTTCTTGACATGAAACCATACTGCTGTTCACACATAGTCACATCTCATTTAAGTCTAGCTTCCAAAACTCTCCCAGATCTTCACTGATACACTCATAAACCAAATCACCCTATAGTTGCTACGACTATGTACATCATAATTGTTCTTAAAAATTGCCCCCAGCACACTTCTCCATTTCTTAGCCCTAATTCTCACCCTCAAATATATTGTTGAATATTGAGTCACATGTTTCCTCTTCTTCACAGAATGTAGTCAACCTGCGTACTTCTTCCTCCACTCTTATAGGTCACTCTATGTCCCTCCCTCTTTTGGAAATAAGTGTTGACTACAGCCATTTCCATTTCTTGGCAAAATGCAGCATCTGTCCTTCCTGGTTTCTTTCCCTGACACCAAATTTACCCATCACGTCCTCATCCCCTCTGTTTCCTTCGCCAACATGTCCATTCAGGTGTGCTCCATTGAACATTCTCTCCTCCTTGGATTACTCTGTATCACTTCATCCAGATCCTTCCAAAATGTAGCTTCCTCTTCTATGTCACATCCAACCTGTGGAGCATAACCACTGACAGTGTTTATCATTAGCCCTTCTACTTCTACTTTCAGACACATCACCCTATCTGACAGTCTTGTCACCTCTGCTACATTCATTGCCAACTCCTCCTTCAAGACCACCTCTACTCCATTTCTCTTTCTAGCCACACTAAACTGTAAAACAATTTAAATCCTGCTTCAGTGCTGCAAGCTTGCTGCCCTTCCACTTGGTCTCTTGGATACATGAAACATTTACCTTCCTTCTCTGTATCATGTCAGCCAGTTCTCTACCTGAGCCTGTCATTGTCCCCACATTTAGAATTACAACCCTCAGTCTTACATTCTTGACTTTCCTCTTCTTTATCTCCTAACTTATTTCCCTCCTCATGGTCTTCTACTAACAGTACCACAATTTCTGCCAGCACCCTGTTTGTCAACAGCACTGGTGGCGGTGGTTTTTAACCTGGGCCTCAGCCGATCTGGTATGGTGTCACTTTGATGAACTCACATTATATTAGTTTTGACAAAAAAAAAAAAAAGTTGTATGCCCTTCCTGACACAACCCTCACCATTTACCCGGGCTTTGGACCGGCACAAGAGATACACTGGCTTGTGCTCTCGAGTGGCTGGTTTTCTTTGTTACAAACATACATTTAAATGCATGTATGTGAAGCAAATATTTGACACTTTCATCACTTCTTCCATTTACCGCCTTCCCTTTAGCCACAGTCCCACATTGCTCTCTTTCCAGCTCTCTTGTTTTGTCTTCGCCATGTTGTTCAACTGAGTTTTCATGTCTCTAAAAAGTATCCTCCTGTCATTTGTCTTTTTCAGGCAGAAGAACTTTGCCCGAGGCATTGAACAGCAGCTCCCAGATGGGATGGTGGTGGCATCAGTGCCAACAGAGGTTCAGTGCCACGAAGAGCTGTCAGACCCTGTGCCCGACCCAGAATATCTCATGGGTATGAGACCATATTTTATTGCTTATTCAGTTGGCTCACTTCTTTATCACTGTATTCTATCATTTGCCTGTCTAAATTTTAATGTAAAAAGCAAACAAACAAAAGCAGAAAACTTGTCAGAGTTTTAAAATAATGTGACACAACCATATACTGTACTTATATACTTATATATTTATAAATAACCAGAATATTTACATAATCGTCAATATGGGTTTAGAGCAAATAATTAAAAATCACTGGCTCTCGTGGAACTAATAGAAGCGATAACAACTGCTGTTGATCAAAAACAATATTGTGTTAGCATTTTTGTTTATTTATATAAGGTCGTCGACACTATTGACCACACCATTCTCCTAGAAAAACTGAATAAATATGGCAGAGGATTAGCACTACAGTGGGTATCCAGTTATTTGAATAATAGGAGACAGTTTGTACAGGTAAACAATGGAAGCTCTTAATTTTGTGTTAATGGATGTGGAGTCCCTCAAAGCTCTGTGTTGGGACCAAAGTTGTTTAATTTGTATGTGAATTATCTGGTTGATGTGTCAATGCTTTTGGTGTGTGTTTTATTTGCAGATACCACTTTTTTTGTGTGGTTCGGGTGAAGATATTGAATGGATGTTAGAGATGAAACAGGCAGAATTCTTAACAATACAAACTTGGTTCCAACTTAATAAGTTATCATTAAATTTGGAAAAAGACAAAAAAAAAACTACATGATATTTAGTAATATAAATAAAATTATTGAAGTCCTATATAAAATTGACAGTAATGAAATTCATAGAGTTAATGAAATAAAATTCTGGGGTGTCGTTATTGATGAGAAGCTGACATGGAAATCTCATGCAAATGACTTACTCAATTGCATTACTGTATAAAGTAAAATAGTTTTTGAATGGCAAAGCTTTATATATATATTGTATAATGTAATGATTATTCCATATTTAATCTATTGTATTGAAGTTTGGGGAAACGCATGCAAAACAATTGCAAAGCCCATTTTCAGTTTACAAAAAAGAGCTATAAGAATTATTAGTAGGAAGTGCTATGGTCACCCAACAAATATGTTATTTCATTAACTGAAATTATTAAAAATGTATGATTTGACTGAATATAGTATTTTGCAAGTCATATATAAAGCTCATAATATATACAGTATACCCCTAAGTATTCAATTAAAATTTGTTAAAAAGAGTCATTATAAGTTTAAGGGAATGTAAATGTTTGTAAAACCTCCATTTAGAACTAGTCTGAAGGAGCTGTGTTGTAATTCAGGGAATACGATTGTGGAATTGCCTTGATATCACCATAAACATTTCTAAAACTATTTATATGTTTAAAAAGATGATTAAGTTAAAGTTGTTAGGAAAGTATGGTGCCATGTGAAGGATGCCTGGTGTTTTTTGTTTGTTTTGTTTTTGCTTTGGGGATTGTTCAAGCCTGAGTTGTTGTTTGTTTATTTATTTATTTTTAAAACAAGAGGCAGCTATTATAAGAACTTTCTTCTTCTTTCTGCACCCTTTCCATTCAGTGGTTTTTTTTTTTTTTTTTTGTGTGTGTGTGTTTTGTGTGTGTGTGTGGAGGGGGGTCGTGTGTGTGTGTGCACATTGATATTTTAGCTGTCACAGTATTGTAGCTGTTTACAGTGTGGTATCTGAGCATTTTGCTGTTAAGAAACATTTTTTCAAGTTTTTTTTTCTTCTTCTTAGAAACTTCAACTATTAAATTATATGAATTCATTTGTCCCAAGGATGTGGTTTGGGCCAGGTACATATGCAGTTTTGTTGCACAATGATATAGATATTAACCTTAAAGCCCAGTAATCGTTGTCCTAACAATAACTTTGTTTCCAATGACTCACTAGAATTGTCATCTTGACTCTTACACTCTTACAGGACATGCAGTTGTTACTGAGATGAGATTTTGGGTCTACATTTTGTATATTTATAATATAAATGTCTTTGGGTTTTCTGAAGAGAATAGGATGGGTTTCTTTTTTCTTTTATTTTAATTTTTTCATCTGTATTTTTTTTTTTTCTGTGTAGAAAGTTCTGAAGTTGATAGTTTTCAGTTTGCAATGCAAAACAGCATCAAATGCAGAAAAATAATCTTTAGGAGAAAAGTGTTAAACTTTCCAGCCTTTTCGTTATGAATGTGGTACTTGACCACATAAAAAGACATTTTCAAAGTAGAACAGCTTCTAGTTATACTAAGATCCACAAAGCAAAACAAAACAAAAATAAATAAATAAATAAAAAAAATTAAGAAAGAAAGAAAAAAGCAAAAAGAAAAGAGAGAAATAATCCAAACTTGTGTTTTTCCTGTGCATTGTCTAATTTTACATTTACATGTAAATGTTTTGTTCCATACACTCAGTCATGGCTTTTTTTTTTACTGGCTAATTAGATTAAAAGAAAATAGAAATTGAAAAGATTGAAGATAGCTTGGCCCTAAAGTAACCATCTCTCTTAAGAGGAGTTGAGAATAATGTTTTGTTTTTTTAATTCTTTTGGCATTTAAATTGCAGAAGAGTATACATTTCCTAAAGAGCAGACATCTGTAATGAAGGGCTTATTCTCCCCATCACCGTGATGCATAAGTAACAACCTTTGTCTTGATATTTTACTACAATAGTGGGTTTAAACATAATAACTGTAATTCAGCATATTTCTGTGAAGTGCTTCATTCAGGTGGGCTTCTATGGTTGTGGCTGGCTCTTCACAAGTGGCTCTAAATCGCTTCACAATGAAGAACGCATCAGACTGCAGGGCATGAATTGTTACATGTTTTTGAAATAACAGCAGAGACATGGGGCTAGTCGTGGTAGCAATCCAAAACCATATTATTAGAGGCGGCTGGAGGAATGGTGAATCAAAAATGGGTAATTTTTTTTAGCTCCGACTGTGCTTCTTGGGAAACTTTAGAGTATATTAAAACTGTCTAATCTAAATGGATTGTTTGCTGTCATACGCCCAAAGCCTGGTCCCCTCATCTTTCCCCATTCTTTGTCCCTGCTTTGCCTGCGCAGCTCAAACCATTTTTCCCGTCCATCGCCTCTGGCTTTGCAATGCATGTGTCCAGAACAAAGCCCAGCGCAGCAGCACTTCACTTCTAGGGACTCTCTGCTGGGCTGCAGCAGCCATGGTCCTTACTGAGGTTTATTGAGATATCATTTCATCCCATCCATCAGAGCTGCACAGCAGCACTCAGCCTGCTCTGGGACACAGTGTTTTCTCCTCACTGGTGATTGAACTAAACAGAAAACCTGATTCTAGGAGGACCACAGGATGCATAGTTTAATTGTCCAAGAACAGGAAGAATTAAATAAGTTTGTTTATCACAAAGAAATGGGAAACAGATGTCGCATTTAGAATTTTGTTTCAATTTTAAATTGTTCTATTAAAAAAAAATACAGATTTAGTTATGCTCTACAAATTTGGTTTAATATTGTTAATGTGAAGTTCAAATGCTCTTACAAGCATCAATTCTCTCAACTTATTATTTCATTATTGCCTTTTTTTTTTTTTTTAGAATTATAGACATATAGCAAAAAATCATACATTATTGGGAAAATATATTGTTTTGGTCAAGATGCTTGAAAAACACAACACAAACAACAGAAAAGTTTACAGTCAAAATATAGTTCTTAAACATATACATATTACTGATACTGCTTTTACATAATATTTACTCTATACTTTCACATTGATTTCTTGACCTTAAATACATTTACAAACACTCTAACATGTTGGTAGAAACTATAACTCTTGTTTTTGTCAAGCTTTGATTTTCATTTTAGGGAGACTATTTTCAATTATCATGTATTTTCATTCATCTGTGGAAATGCAAATATTACTACTTTCTCCCCTCAAAAACAAACAAAAAAATCTAATTAAAACAATTCAATTTTTATTTTGTTTTACTGTGAACACAAAGTTTCAAATAAATTGTTTTTTTTTTCTTATTTTCAGACAGTTTAAAAATGTCTCTAAGCTAACATTTTCTTTATTGAACTTTGTTTCAAAGATTTACCTCATATATCAGTGAGATGTAGCAACAATATTTACCCAGTGAGCTGATGTTAGTATAATTGTACATATCTATTTTTATTTTACTTTCATTTAGTTTTACTTTCACCAGCAGGTTTTTGAACACATGTAAACCTTTAAGACTGCATTGCTTTAGTGTTGGCCGAACTGAAAAAAAAAAAAAAGCTAAATCCTTCAGGTCCTTCCATTTAAGAAGTTTTTCAGTGAGCTGACACTGACCCATTGCCCTGTCAGAAACAATGGAGGATTCACAAATATGTCTTATGGAACATGACGAGTAATCACTTCAGGCAGAATAAATGTGTTGCATAGTTCAGCTCAAATCTGACCAAAAAACATGTATTAACTTTGCTGCATTACAACTCTATGCTGTTTTTCCTCAGAGTTTTCAGTAAATCATGCTGCAGTGATTTGTACTGTTCCTGGACTGTGATTCATTTTCTTCTTAAAGTGTCGTTTTAAATTATTTCATCTCTATTAAAGCTGACTCAAACCGATTATTCTGATTCACTTAGGTTTGACTTACAATTATTTGTATTATAAATCAAAAGCCAGCACAATCTTAACTTGGGTCTCTAAATTATAGTTCTAAAAATACATCTCTGCATATTTTTTTTAAATAAAAAAATACTGCAAGATGAAAAAAAACAACAACAACAACAACAACTTTGGACTGAGTAAAACAAAAACAATACAATTTGCTCCTTAACATAAAGACATCTTGACTAAATCATTGGGAGCTTAAAAAAAGCCTTTACAAAATGAAACAGCTTGTTGAATTGTGGAGTCAAATCTGTTATTTTAAATATCTCTTTTAATAAGAGTGTGTTTAAACATGTTAGTTTATATTATTTCCATTTTTAACATGCCAAATGCGTTTACTGAGTATACAAAACAGCTCAAACTCACATGAACACAACTGGCAATATCAATGCCTTATAAGCCCATCCA